CAGTGGGCATTTTGATGGTTTACAGGAGCAGGTAAACTGTCAGAATATGATGTTTGCAAAGGGTGACCTAGAAGAGGGGACTGGAGATAGAAGCCTATTGCGATAAACTGGAAAAAAGATGATGAAGGCCTGAAATGAGGCAGTGAAAAACGAGAGGTTGGGATGAACTTAAAAAACAAAAAACAAAAATCAGAAAATCTGAAAAAATGATTGAGTAATGTGTCATTGGAAGCAGGAAAGGAATGAAAAATTACCCTAAGCTTGGGTAATTAAATAGCACAGGTAGTCCAGAAAGAAGTGTACTTTTTGGGGGGATGGAGGAGTGAAGCAGAGGGCAAGTGATAAACTTAATTGTAGACATTTTGAGTACAATAATGTGGGCTTCAGATGTTATAACATATTTTACTAAAACATTAATGCTTGGCTATACCACCTATTTCCTTATAATGCTAAACTGGAAAACTAGTTGTTAACATATGCTGGTGAACTCAAATTTTATTGTTAGTTACCTACTAAATAGTAACTGTATCACTTAAAAAGGGGATGTAAATATGAAAGCTAATTATCCATGCCTGTCATGTACTTTTCAGTTACATTTGAAAAAATTCTGTATTATTTTATCAAGAATATACTTTTTTTATCAAGAATATATGCATTTTATCAAGAAAATATACATTTTCCAAATATACTGGGGGTGCCAAAAAATGTATACAAGAGGGCACTTTGGTCAACGTTGCTCAAGCAGTAGTTCGCCATAATCAGAAGTGTCTGGACACTGATGGTAACCACTCGGAGCACCTCTTGTAATTGCAGAAGTCAACTGTGACTTGCATTCATCTTTTGTTATCGGTATACATTGAGTATGACAATTTTAATACAGTTTTTTCCTTTCTTAAAATGTGTATACATTTTTTGGCACCCTCTGTGTATCTAATTTATTTCTCTGGGAGAGCTTTGAAATAGTCCTTTTGAGAGTTTACTAAAAATAAAAACATAAACATAATCCTGCCCCTGGGACAATGACATTTCTTCCATTTAAAGCTGCTCTCATCTCACTTCCTCTCATGCTGAGCTCACACATTTTAATTGTTTCATAATTATAGGGAACACAAGCAGCAGCAAACCCCCGGTTGTTTCGTCATGTTATCTTCATCCAAAGACTGTAGAAATCTTGATTCTGAGGGAAACAGAACACGCATTCATGTCAAAGGAAGTCTCTTAAAACCAAGGTCAAAGATTATGGCTACAATTTTGAAACCCTAAGAAAGCTCTATCTTATTTATATTCTTACTTCCTTTCTTTTAGCTGAGGATATCAAAGGGAAAATAAAAACTGACATAAATGATATAATTTTAAAAATCAAGGTCATAGAAATTTGAATGACTTAGAGAAGTACATTTGTCAGGGTGAAGTCTGTTTTCATATTTGTCATACAATATTAGGCACAGACTAGGAAGGACGAAAGAAACGGATGCCATTTGGGATATTATTCATGGAAATCTCACCTCCAAAATCTGCCACCACAGCATGCCCATCCTCATAGAGAAGAATGTTGTGACTGGAATACAAAGCAGACTTTGAGTAATCTTTATTTCCTAATCCAACCAGCCCCTCACAGAAGAGGACAATAGTTGTCATTTGTTTACACCATAATCTAAACAAGTCCCAAAGGCTACCAGAGATCTCAGGCTACTGACTCTGATTTTCTCAGTTTTGTTAATTCAAAAAGAATATTTAAAGATTTTTATCATATTATATCTACTTGGAAAATATACCAAGTATCCTACTTTAGATAAACCCCCTAAAGTAAAAAAAGACTCATTAGCTGAAGATCATGTTTTCAGCTTTTTGAAGCTCATTTGCTGACACCACTGTGGTTACAGGCAAAGAGTAAAAGGTATTTGTGAAATACCTTTTAAAAGGTATTTGGAGTTATAGCTGGAGAACCAGCTCACAGGAACCCTAGACACATGGACAGGTCATGGCAGGGCCTGACGTGAAGAGGACCCAATGGAAAACATCTTAGCTAATATGTTCTTGCTACAATCTCAGGACAAAGAAGTGCTTTTAAGGCTTGTGAGATAAGACCAGTTAAATCACTTTTGAAGGTCTTGGGGAAGAAACTGTTTAAAGGCATCAAAGTCTTCTTTTCAAGGCAGAATTCAATATAAATTAAGAATATCCTTTTCAAAAAGTAACTCAAGGCTGGGACCATCCAAAGAGAGTTCATTTCTTCCACATACTAGTGAATTGAGTTGCTGGATAGCTTACGGACAAGCATATCATGACCCAAGGTTGTCTTTGAGTTCTTATTGAATGTCTTTCTTAAGTACAGCATAAGGAATATAGTCAATAATGTGGTAATAATTGTGTAGGGTGTCGGATGGGTACTAGGCTTATAGGGGCGAATCACTTCATAAGTTATATAAATGTCTAACCACTATGCTATATACCTGAAACTAATATAATATTGAATGTCAACTGTAATTGAAAAATTAAAAATAATTAAAGATAAAGGAGTCATTTCAGTATTAGGAGATCACCCACTGAGCTTCTTTTAGGGCACATAGGCTGTACTATATTTATTAATCTGCTCTATCCTTATTAGTTTTGCTTCATGATCAAAATAAGAAACATATAATTTTCTAGTATTAAATAAGTCCAGTATGATATTGAATTACTTATATAAGTGCTTCTGGTCTGACTTGAACTTTATGCAAAAGATGCTTTTAAACTTTTCTTATATAATTAATGAATTTAACTTTTGTGGTATATACTTAATCCTTTCTTCATCTATCAAAAATCTAGAATGTGCTCAAGGTCACTTTGCGTGGAAGAGCCCAACGTGGAAGTAATCAAGGATATCGAGAGAAAACTCCCAAGATGCTGTCTTTAACTACAAATTACCCATTAATACATGTGATGAGAAAGACTCTGTCATGACAAAGATCTCTGCAGCATCAGAAGCTCTCTAGAAGTTCAAATGCAACAAGAAAAATGCACCTAAATGCCATACTGCTACATTCCCTGAAGTGATTTAGGGGAGCATCTATATCACAATCCTTTAGCTTATCAAAGGATAATGAGTGTTACATTTCATAGATATCATTAAAATACATACTGAGCTGGATTCATCAATCATATTAAATGATTATGTGTAAAGCATCCTATCCATTATTTTATTTTTAATTCCAATTAGTTATCAAGAACAGTAGTTATAAAAATAAATGGTAGCATAATCTCAATCTATAAAACAGATGTGCAAATGGAGCTGCTCTAGTTAAATAGAGGGGCAGGCTGACAGAACACCTACTTAACCCTCACCTTTCCCAAAATAGCACATTGACACAATAGTTTAAAATGTGGATCTAGAAAATCCCTGAAGTAAGTGATACTCCTAGGGAATATTTTGTTTATTCATTTGTTTGCTTAATTTTCTTCCTTTTTTTATGTTACTAAGAAAGATTACATCAGCTAGCTGAAGTTGGGGTAAAGTATTTAGCAATATTTTACTCTTTTATCAGAAAAACTTAAGTGAATTTGGTCACTGGGTCACCCAGTGCAATATGGTATGAGAGGTAGCATGTCTCAGATGCAGGGATTATATTCATTTCTGTACCTTTAGCATTTTTAGCACAGTGCTGATTACATAGAAGTATTCAATACATATTATTGAACAAATAAATAAATTAAAAGAAACTGAAAATACACAGTCATGAGTTTGGAAGGGTAAAGATTATAGTATTAGTTAATCAGCAAGTACTTATAGAATATCACTCATTAATCTATAGTAAATATTTAAAATTCAGATAATTATACAATTGGAAGAGACATTAGAACTAACCTAGTTTAACTCTTAGTTTCTAGAGGAGTTGTCCAAATCTGAGAGAATTTAAGTGTATCAACAGAGGTTATATAAGTAGCTGGTGGCAGTAAAGATATAGGACCCAGTTCATCTATGCCACCATCTCAGAACTTAAAACAGTGCCTGGCAAATAGTAAGTGATCAATTAATTTTATGAATCATCCTTGTGTTATTATACACCTTTTCCAAAGTATCACATTTATTTTCTTACATTATTAAAACACTCTGAGAGAAGCAAAGTGATGCAATTTATAGATTCCATCTTCAAGGAACTTATAATTGGCTGACGAAAGTGAGGATGAAGGTGGGTAGTATAAGAATTCAAAGAAATCAGTGTAGATTTAAAAAAAGAATTAGCTTGGAGAGATCCAAGATGGAGAAGCAGATAAATACTGTGTGTGCTTCCTTCCATGAATACATTAAACTTACAATTAAATTACAAAACAATCAACCTGGAAAATCATCTGAAGTCTTGATGAATGAAGTTTTATAACCAAGGATAAAAAGAAGCCACGTTGAGACTGGTAGGAGGACCAGAGATGTGAAACAGACTGGCCCTAAACCTCCATGTAGAGGTTGAGAATCAGGAGGGATATCTCAGCCATGCAGACTCCCCCTGGAGGAGCGAGGGACCTCATACCAGGATCCCTAGCCCAGAGTACTGATGCTGGGAAGAAGAGCCCCCACAAGATCTGGCTGTGAAAAACAGTGGGGATTCCAATCGTCTGGGTAGAAAGGAAGGCTGGGGGAAAACAGATGCCCTCTCAAGAGGCACGTGCACAGACTCACTCGTTCACAGGCCTCTGGTGGAGGGACAGTGACTCAGGGGGCATCAGAGGCATATGGGGGGCAGACTGAGGTGTGTGGCTTCAGGAAGAGGGCTGGAAGACAGTTGCCATTTTCCCTCTGAAAGGGTTTCCTCCTGTGCAGCCAGCAGGCGGGCACCATTTTTCCTGTGTTGAGCCTTCCCCCTTCAGGCCAAATCTGAATCTGATTGGCCTGGTGAGCTCTGCTGGCTCCACCCTGCTGACTCACTGGGAACCTACCCTACCCAACTCCCACAATGCCAGCGGCACTTTCTCAATAAGCAGCCAGCCCCACCTACACTGCTATCTTTCTTTGAAAATTATCAGAGTCTGTGAGCCCCAGGCAGATGGTGAATGGCCTCAGTGTGCTCTGAGACCTTTTCTGAGTAGCACCAGGTTCAGCACTGGCACCAAACCAGAATCTACATTAACCTGGTAACCAAAACTCTTTCCACTCTAGTGACTCCCTGAGACCCTGCCTCACCCAACTTGTGTACTGCATGAGGCTTTATCAATGGCTGAAACTTAAGGGAGCCAGCAGGTGGCAGCAGGTCTTGGGGTGTCCTGGCTTTTTGCTGGGCTACCCCAGGCCCAGTACTACTGGTGGCAGACATCCTCAGTTCACAGCGTGTCCTCTCCCACATGCTTTCAGGTTGAGCACAGCCAGCAAACAACTGCAGATTGCTTTGTAGCTCTTACCATGTAGTCTCTGGCAGGTCATAGGTAGTGGGTGACCTGGGTCTGCACCAGAGCCCCTCCCAAAGGGCCCCAGACCAAGTTGGCTTCAGAACACAACAGAGCACTGCCCATTTAGTCCCACAAGTGGCACACCAAAAAGGAAGCCTCAACAGGCACCAGAGCCTGCTGGGGTAAATCCCACTCAGTGGGGTAAGCCCCTCTGTAGCTTGTGAGCTGTAGATGTGGTCAAAACCCCATAGCCAATCAACATGAGGGTCAATACCACCCACTGACATGCCAATAGCAATTGAGGCTCAACAATAACAGGAGGGCATACACAACCCACATAAGGGACACTCCTGGCGCACCCAGCTCAGTTGACCAGGGAAACTATGCCAGGGCCCCATAGGGCACCTACTACATAAGGCCACCTGGTCAAGATTGGGAGACATAGCAGATCTACCTCATACATAGAAACAAACACAGAGAGGCAGCCAAGATGAGGAAACAAAGAAATACATCTCAAATGAAAGAACAAGAGAAAACTCCAGAAAAATAACTAAACAAATGGAGGCAAGCAAGTTACCAGATACAGTAAGTTCAAAACAATGGTTATAAGGATGCTAAGGGAACTTTGTGAGAATTTCAATAAAAAGATTGCAAGCATAATAAAGAGCACAGAAACTATATGAACCAGTCAGAAGTGAAGAATACAATAACTGAAATGACAAATGCACCAGAAGGAATCACCAGCAAACCAGATGAAGCAGAAGGTCAAATTAGTGATTTGGAAACAAGGTATCATAAAATACCCAATTGGAACAGAAAAAAGAATCCAAAAAAATGAGGATAGTTTAAGAGACCTCTGGGGCAACATCAAGTGTAACAACATTCACATCATAGGGGTAAGCAGGAGAAGAGAGAAAGCAAAGGATTGAGAATCTATTTGAAGAAATAATGACTGAAAACTTTCCTAACCTGACAAAGGAACAAAAACAAACAAAGAACCAAACAAACACCAACAAAAAACAAAACAAAACAAAACAAAACAAAAAAACAAAACAAAACACACAAGTACAGGAAGCACAGAGTCCCAAACAAGACGAACCCAAACCGGCCCACCCCAGGATACATTATAATTAGAATGGCAAAGTTTAAAGACAAAGAGAGAATCCAACAGCAGCAAAAGAAGGGCAACTAGTAACGTAT